CGGGAAACGTCAGTCCAGTGGGGGACCCCGACAGTGGCGACCAGCGTTCATGTCGCCCTGTTGTGTTAAATTTTGCAAGCGACATACAGAGGGTAACACCGCCGCGCAACTGGTATTTTCCCAACGGACGAAAGTGACATTCGTGGAATTTGGTGATGACATCTTTGAGTCTCGGGAGCCAGAGAGTTTACTGCGCCTCCGGGAACAATGCCGTTCTCGCACAGGGGTATACCGCTGTATATTCCACCGCTGAACTTCAATCGAGCATCTACGGGTGGATTCATCTCCCTCCATTCAGGTAAGGTTAGTAACCGTACGATATGAGCACTGCTTGCTGCGTTCTAAACCTCTATGTTCACACGACACGCGGTATAATGGGGGGCTAACAATTAACAAGATACTCCCCAGTATATCCCACACCTCTAACAAAATGTTTTAGGTGAAGTCACCACAAACTTGTGATATTTTACGCCCACAAAGCGACCCTACTTGTATCTCCATTGGTGGACCTGCAACTACTGTCACTGGGACCGAGACTCCATCTCACCCAATGTAGTCGTAGATACGTGACTGTACCTGAATGATGCATCAACGCATCACATACACCCATACGTTGTCAGTGACTAGCCTAGGACTGTATAGATGTAACGTGTCTAATAACACGCCAGCATCTGCATCACTCAGACTATATCACTCTAACAGGTACTTACTCTTGCGTCGGCAAACCTTGATGCTGTTTCTACGTATAGTAGCCTTCTCACTTTATTGCAGCAAACAAAGCCTCCGAATAAAGTGGCATGCATCTGCATTCCCAACACCCACACATCTATTCATGTTCTTGGAACCCATCCAGTGTGTCCAAAGGCTACCTTCTCGCCACGACACAGTACTAGAGAACAGGCAGTACGCTCATCATACTGCGGTTCCACTCAGAGTTCATCTCTCCGTAACCTTCAAGCGGATATAACTATACACATACTTTTGTGGTAGCCACATCGGGAACTTACCCAGTGAATATGATCAGAGCTCTCTGAGATGTTTACTCTACTAGTTAGCCCTATAATAATTATAACTCGAGCATACGAGCATACACACAATACTTCTCTAGGCTAGCCTCGGGGGGACAGCAAAAGTTTTTGTAGCAGGGATGTTTTTTATTTTGCCAGCCTCCTGAATATTATATAATCAGTGCATGTGTAGCTAGATATGACTCGTCACGAGCGATAACAATTAAAATGATAATTGTAGTCATAGACGCTCATCTATAGAGTTCCCACAGGTTTAACAACTGTTTGTATATATAGCTACGCAGGCTGTTAGACACTATCACAGAACAGAGATGTTCTCAGTCGTCTGAAGGTCGATATCCCTCTCTTCTCTCCCTGATGTAGGATGTCTCCAGATGGTCCCGATCACGTGTGGATATTCGTATGGCCAGTCACAGCTAATGCATCTCGACAATGCGATCCCAGACTGCCCGCCATGCCACTGGTAGGTGCCCATTATTTATCGCCTAAGGAATTGCTGCTTCCGCAATGCACTATTGTGTAATTGGGAATGTTGGCTACAACTCATGCAGGGAATGCAACTAGGGAGTGCTCTCTTACCGGTAGTTGGGGAGTTGCAAACGTCATGTCGTGCTTATCAGAGGAAATTGCTCTTGTTCAGGAAGAGGTATGTCAAAGAATAAAGTTACACTGCCCTCTTCATTCTTTGTTACCCACAACATTGATCCCTCAACAAGTGAAACAACCATCAGTTTTGCCTAAACATTTTACATGCATTCAATGTCGCACTGCTACTTCTTTTTTTAATACAAAAGCCTCATGTGTCATTATTATGGATGGTTCTTATTGATCTAATGAGACTTGATTCTCTCACGCACTGACTCCCTTTATTTTTAATGCCAACAGGCAAAATGCCTGGAGGATGCTGAAGAACGGATACAGTGTGCAGTTAATATCTCAGTTCAATTGGCAGAGGCCAGTCTGGCAGTGTCAACTAAGAGAGGACCAAACACTAGCATTTACCCTCTTGACCTTCAAACAATCAATGGTATAGTGTCACGGGTGAGTTCGGCATGGACAATGAGTTTTTATGCCAGAGTTATTCTTTTTATCCGTTTGTCCCACATAGGTGCTGAATGTTTTTGAAGATGAAAGAAGAGAAGTATCCAGTGAAGTAAGTGCTGCTAGAAGCATTTGTTTTCATGTAATGTTGGAGGAGGCACTAATTCAAATCCAAAGTGCGGCTTTACTCCAGGCACTGGTGGATGTATTCAACAATTCTCTGAGAGAGGCAAACCAGGCAGGCTGGACACAGCTTCAGACTGCTGGCTCTGGCAGTCAGGCTCTGCTGAAGAATGCAGAGAGATTTGGGAGGATCCTTGCCACCAGTACTGTCAATGGCAATGGTACATTGGTGCTTTCCAGACAAAATATTGGTGAGCACTTCTACGTATTAATTTTTTTTTTCTATGTCTGAATTGTATAGTGTACTTCTGCACAATACTGAATTATTTTGCTTCCTTGTTGCAGTTGTAGCAGCTGAGGTGGTGAAAGGACGTGTGTCAAACTTTTCATTTCCTGCCCAACCTGATCAACTGGGGAACTTCTCTCGGGACAACAATGAAACAGTCAGTGTCAGTATACCTGAAGACTCGCTAAAGAGACTCACTAAAGAAGCAGGTATAATTACGTTTGCCTTCAATACTGTGTGGATTCCAAGACATATTTTTTTGTCCTTACAGAGGTTTATCTGGTAAACACAATCTTCAGAAACATTAAGGATTTTTTACCTATTAACACATCTGTGCTAAGGTAGCTAGCTGTAAACCATTCGTAATGCCTTTTGCATAAAAAATTTAAATATTTGCAGCAATGGTAAAACGGAATCTTTGGTTATATCGACCCAATTTGGTGCACTGGATCAGGAAGATTCTCCTAACGACACGTTCAAAGACAGTCCAATCACTTTCAACTTCTCTTTCAGAGCTGTACGTCTATACCAAAGTTCCAAATAAGAGCTGTATATATGTTTATGTTTAACTACACAGAGTTCAGACACTGGTTCTAAGTATGCCGGAGTGTTTTGGGACTTCTCTAACCCGTAAGTGTGTGTTACTTGGCATGGTGCCTACGAATGACTGGTGCTCTATAGTGTGAATAAAGGAGGGTGGAGCTTAGAGGGTATCCAGGTCATCAGCAGTGTAACCAGAGACAATGTCACCACAGTTGTGTTCAACTCCACCCACCTCACCAGCTTTGCAGTCCTGGTAGATGTGGCTGGTGGATTAGAGGTATGAAAATGCCTACCACCCACGTGCACAGGAAGGAAGCTCTCTCCCAAAAGTCATTTTCCAGCTAAAGCCACCTCAATAAATTCCTGGGATAATTTGTAATAAACAGGATATTGCAGCTTCTTTATACATACTGAGAATACTTGCTGTCACGTATTAGGGTACTCCAAAGGAAGAGCTGCTGGCACTGAAAATATTCTCCTACATTGGGTGTGCCATATCCACTGTCTGTCTCTTTATCACCGTCCTATTCTACCTTGCCATGGGGTGAGTGAGCCAAGGTTAACTCTTTATGTCATTGTATATAGATCAAAACATCATCATTTTTTCAGAAAGAAGCTCTTCTCTGCTATTCACTACTTTGTCCACCTCAACCTGGCAATATCTCTACTGCTAGGTTACCTTGTGTTCGTACTTGGCATTGAACTAGGAAACAGCAACAAAGTGAGTCTTTACACATTAGTATGCTTGCAGCTTCAGTCTTCACTTGTTTCCTGAAAACACAGGTTGCTTGTGGGTTTGTGGCAGCACTGCTGCAGTATCTGTTCCTCTCTGCCTTCTGCTGGATGATGTGTGAGGGGATCATGCTCTACCTCATGTTGATTGTGGTCTTCAGTCGACTATCAAAGAAGTGGTGGTTCTTTATGATTGTTGGATACTGTGAGTTGTAACTATAGTTAGTCACTGACTACATGAAACTATGCTGTTTGTATTGTACATATTGTCTGATACATCGCAATTTTTTAGGCGGTGCCAATGGTATTTTAGGCTGTGCCAATGCTGAATGCTGCCAATAAGTTATATACATCATAGGACCTTTTGGTTTTGTACAGGCACTCCTTTACTCTTTGTGGCTAGTGGACTGGCAGCACGTGTTGAGCACTATGGAGTATATGGAGATGATGGAGAACTTGCCTTGTGAGTTAGAGGTGACAGGTCTTATCTTTACTTATTGTGTCTCTAACCCTGCCTTAGCTGCTGGTTATCAACAAAGCAAGGGACCATTTTTGCATTTGTGGCACCCATGATACTCATCATTATAGTAAGTCAACAGATAAGATTATTATGATCACTTAAACTACACAAATACCGTATAGGTCAATACAGTGTTCCTAGTACTCTCAGTGATGGCACTACTTCACAGTAATCAAAAGGCCGGAGTTCTTGGGAAAAAGAAGTCTTTGCACAAAGCAAAGTAAGTTTGTAATGTAAGCGTGTAAGAGCTGGTACGGAGAGCTTTCTTCACAGGGTTACCTCAATCTTTTGCTGTCAATCTATACAGGACTATATTGAAAGCAACAGTCATTCTTCTACCTCTACTGGGAGTGACTTGGTTGTTTGGTCTTCTCACACTTAGCAGCAGTACCACAGTGTTTGCCTGGCTCTTCACCATCTTCAACTCCCTCCAGGTTCACATTGACTTTTGTATCACAATACGCCTATGACTCTGCTTGTGCTAACCTTGCAGGGAGGTGCCATTTTCTTTTTCCATGTCGTCAGGAGCAAGCTGGTGAGACCAAACAGCATACAAAGTAACCACAATCCCTGTCTTTCTTCCCAAACAGGTGTGGAACAAGATAATGTATGTATTCAAGAAGACGGCCCCAGTATCTTCCACAAACAATACTTTTGTAAGTATAACACACACTTGAAGATTTGTGCTTTCAGTAAGGTAGATTCCTTGCTTTGACAGTCAAGCACTTCAGAAAGTCGGAGTTCGGCAGAGACATTGAAGTCAGTACTTCACAAGAAACCACTTGACTTGAGAGAAAGTAAAGGGACATATTTTAGTACAGCACTACCGGTTATACCCCCAACAATTTGGCACACACAAGCCCATCCTACATGTGTACCTGATCAGTTGCAAATAAACTATGCACTTTCTCATACACACTCACGAACTAACTAACACAGATGGTGAGGCAGAGCCTTATGCGTCGTACTCTGCGATGAGTGTGTCAGGACCACCAAGTGATGCAGAAATGGAAAGTGAGAGTCTAAAAGGTGACAATGAAGAGTCTGATGTTACTCAAGAGTTAGCCAAATGCAACGGGACTGCAGGACAGTGACAAACTGACTAGCTATGCAGCGCACAAACGCCCACACAGAAAATCGCCAACAGTTCAGCTATACGACTGAAAAACTCGTTCTTGTCCTTTAAGTTAACAACTTTTGATGTTATGTGTTTTGTTTCATAATTACTAGTAGGCGAATGCATGGCATTTGTGGCGAGCGGGAGCGAGCACACAATGACTCTATCTGCACGAGCCATCCTACAACTTGAACCTTAGAATCACGAAGATTGGAAGGAGGTATAGACAGCCTCGGTCAGGTATCGAAGAGCGCAGCGAATGCCAGCAAATAGTCGAGAGTTCTTTGGCTGGCTATATTTCGCATCGATATGACAGCTAGGGCAGCGTGTAAAAATTTGCGCGTTCCCTATCACGAAAGCGACGCTGATACAAACGAGCCTCTCTGCTCAGGAGTCTCACGGGCACGATGTTCTCTCTACCTCTCTCTTTGGACGACGAAGGGCATCTTCCCCAGACTATATGCACATGTATATACGCACGACATCATCACACGTACACACAGGCAGGCAGCATGTGAAATTTTGAAATCCTTTCGGATAAAAAGAAGCGCGTAATCCTGGAGCATGCGCAGTTGTACGACGTATATACGGCCGGTCGTATAGAAAATCCGCGCCGTTCGTACCACTAGGTTAGCTCGCTCCCGCTCGCCAATTATAATACTTGGGCAATCACATGAAGGGGGTATAGCTAGGTATGGCTCAAAACATTAAAAAGGGAGTCGTGTTTTGTGTGTGTTAGCTGTGCAATGACCAACTACTGCGTGACAAAAGCAACTATAGCTACCATGCACACATTAGAAGCTAGCATTTGTAGTGAGATGGAGTTGAGGATGCAGGAACACTGAAATACCAGCATGGTACACTAAGCATTGGACTGCTGATGCCTGAAGCAGGATGAAGGGGCAGTAGAGAGAGACATTATACACAAACGACATACATAACTCTGTAGCAAGGGTTGTCAAGGAGGTTAATAGCTTATTTTTACATACTGGATGTATAATGGGCAGGAGATTGCAAATTTTTCAGACACATAAAACCCAGAGGCATGTGCTTTCAAAGTTTTATCATTCTGGGTATTTGCTCTACCTAGCTAGCACACTTTATTGGTCTATATCATAATGATCTATTTACAAATGCTCTTGCACGACCTGTCATGGATTCCAATCTCTGTGCAAAGTTTCATCTCCAATATCTTTCCTGGTTTTTGAGATACGCTTGTTGAAACTGAACAACAACAACAACTACAACAACAAGAATTTTTAAAACTGACTTTTTGAATAAATCATGTACCAATTATACGGTTTAAGCCATTCTTTGATACTTGCTCTTTGTGACGACATGGATCAGTCTGATGTGTCAAAAGTTGGATCTGATTGAAACTGAATGTGAAACATGAAAATCTCAAATGTATGGGCATAATGCAGGATGACCTGTGTCATCTCTATATACTAAGTACATTATACCTGCCAACCTTTGGCCGTGCAAGATAGGTACAAGGTTCTGGATTTCCTAGATAACAGATACCTTTTCTATATACTTTAACACCTACTGTTAGTAGTTCTAAGAAGACCTGGAATGTGTGTCTTTCAAGTTGACAGAGTAGTCCCTCAACCACAACAAACTTGTGCAGATGCTTTTCGAGGTACATATGTTGGGAGGACAGCAAATTCTTTTCCCTGTCTGGATTTCCTACATAACAGATACCTTTTCTATATACTTTAACACCTACTGTTAGTAGTTCTAAGAAGACCTGGAATGTGTGTCTTTCAAGTTGACAGAGTAGTCCCTCAACCACAACAAACTTGTGCAGATGCTTTTCGAGGTACATAGATAATATGTTGGGCGGATGACTAATAGGGCAGCCGGCAAATTATTTTCTAGTTTAGATTTCCTACTTTAACACCTACCCTAGTTCTATATCCGTTAGGAAGTAAAGAGGTTGCAAACATTCAGCAATGGGTGGCTAGGAATGGAAAATACGTAATGTGGGCAGGCGAGCCAACATGCATACCTATGTACCGCCACTAATGTGGCTACCTACTAGGAGGAGGCCGTATTCCCTAAAGCTGAAAGAGGAGCACATCCGTAAGATGACAGAAATATTTGAGGAGCTTGTTGTTATCGGTGATCCTGTGAAAGTGGAAGACAGTGTTGTGCATTTGCTACAAGCTTACCCGACATTTTTAAGCGAGATTGTCATCTTCTGAAGGAAGAAGATTCCACTCGTAGCAAGGAGCCTCGACCCAAGGCGAATACAGCTGCTGACCAGACCAAGGGACTGTTGACTTACTATAATGATGAGTATCATGGGTGCCATAAACGCAAAAAATGGTCCCTTGCTTTGTTGATAACCAGCAGCTAAGGCAGGGTTACACAATAAGACGTACTCTATGTGCCAGCACTGTCATACAACCTCATCAGTGTTGCAAAGGCAGCTGAAAATGGAAAGGTCACCGAGTTTGATGACAGTGGTTGCCAGATTGTTGGGCCAGGGACAAGATTGGTTGTGAAGGTGACTAGAATGTACTCGACTGCGAAATCGACCAGAACACCAGTGTTGTACAAGCATCAAAGGAAGTTTTGTGGAACCAGCGTTATGGACATCTCAATGTGCAAAGTCTGCAAAAGCTTTCCCGAATTAACCTGGTGGAGGGGCTCCACACAAGGATATAGAGTTATGCGAGAAGTGTGTCAGAGGCAAGCAAACAAAGTCTGCCTTCACGACCAGTGAAAGAAACCGAGAAGCAGAACCACTGGATCTCTCGTTCATAGTGATGTCTGTGGGAAGATGAACGCTCATTCGTTGGGTGGGGCAGAGTATTTCCTCACCTCCTTCATCGATGATCGAACCCAATACACGTGGATCTAGCTACGTCCTCAAGCACAAGGACGAAGTCTTCGACTGTTTCCTACGTTGGAAAGCGTTCGTGGATAAGTCGAGCGGGAGGAAGGTCAAGGCGATTCGTACCGAAAACGGTGGAGATTATAGATACGTCTACGAAGTTTCGAAGATTATTTGAAGTCAGAAGGCATCAGTCATGAACGCACTGTACAAAAAACACCAGAGCAAAACGGTGTTGCCGAACGAATTAAAATCGCAGTAATTTACTTGTATACTAATGAGTTGTCTTAGTGCGCATACACTGCGTGCGGTGCCTTTGATTTCTAGGGCTTCTGTGGTACAAACATGCATACTCAGTGCCGAGCCCCTTCGTGAATTTCCGCAGCATATACACTACTAAACTATTGCAGCAGAGCTGTATCGGTCTGCAGAAGCTAGCTCGGAGCCATGGCGGCTGTGAGGCTGGATCTCACCCCCTAGTGGAACCTCTCGTGCTGCGTATACTGATACGTGTGCCCAGAGCGCAACACAAGAACACGAAGGTCCTGACTACTGGGGCTGGATGGTGCTCCACTACTCGACCTCTGCCTTGAGTCCATCTGTCCATGCTTCCGCCGGGTAAGCGCAGTGAGCGGGCAATAGTGCAAGTACGTGTGGAATGTAATTAGTAGCGTGTGGGCTCATTGCGTGTCGCACCTCCTCTGGGCCGGAGCTGCCACATGCAAACTGTAGTAGAAACATAATTTTACAGGACAGGTAAAGCCACTTAGAATTACTGGAGCAAGATTCCAAGTGGTTTGAAAGACTTGAGCGAGCTCTCTGGCCCAACACAGGAAAACA